TAATTTATAACCCTACTCCCCTTTCCCCTGCCACTAGAGTCCCTAATGAAGAGCCCTTAATGATACACTGAGACATGGCAGCTTCTGTCCTTGCATCCCAGATATTTGCTCATCTCTGCACAATGTTGACCTGCCAAGGGTATGGTAGATAAAAGGCATCTTATTAACAGCCCTTTCCTTTCCCCCCTTCTCCTAGTGCCACTGACCTGTGCCTCCACCTCACCTCTACACTGCCATGGCTACTCTAGAGACGCTGCCCGTTCTCAGTGACCCAACGTACCCCATCCCAGAGAATTTCCACAGTTTTTCCCCCCGGCCATCCCAACCCATCTCCCAGAGCACCATGGGCAGCGTAGGCAGCGGCGTCGCCAATGACCAGGAGTTCGCCATGAAGAGCGTGGGGACGCGGACGCAGAGCAGCAGCCGGCAGACAGAGGGGTCTCGCAATGGGTATTCCACACGGGAGATCTCCAACCGCTACTCCGGCGAGGAGAAGACATACAAGTCGGAGAAGGTCTCCAATTCCCTCTACATCAACGGCGACCTGCGCAAGAGCGAGAAGGTGAAGATGGATATCTGTGGGAACGTGACCACCAACAACGAGAAGAACATGCCGCCACCTCCCCAATACCGAGAGCCCAGTAACCCACCAAAGATATTGCCAATCTCCGGCAAACTAGACCAGGTGAGAATTCCCACCTCCTGGAGCAGCTTGGTGACCGTGGCACACCTCTTAAAACACAGACCAGGAAGCCTTGGGCAATGGTGCAATCCTGATAGATAGTCTAATTCTTACTATGTAGGTGGCATCATTTTTACATAGATAATACGATTTTTATCACTTTCATGGGGAATGTTAGTTCTTGAGGAACCCAAGAGCATGATCACAAGTTTTCTACAGCTAATTTTCCAATTCATTTAAGTCATTGGCTATTCCAACCTACCCAAGATGTTGTGCCTACCTCTCTGATTGATCAGGATGGAGCTGGAGTTGGATCTTGTTTCAGTAGGTCAGCACCTGAGTCCCACTCTCGGGTTTTATGCCATTTATAGGTCATCTCCAACAGCACATTGTTACCAAAAGTTATTGCTTGAAAGCAGCCATGAGCATCTGTTCAAAATCCCAATGCCCCTTGTGAGGGACAAGTTGGAAAGGCTTGAAACCCACTCCTGTAAGTGTTATTGCCCATCCAAAACCAGTCCTTATGGCTCATACTGGCTTCGGGGAGCAAACACCTCCCAGGCTTTGAGAAGCAGAGCCCCAGAGCCCCCAGCATTGCTTATGCCCACATTCAATTGAAGAGCAGCTTCAGCATGTTCCTTGCCCAGTGTCACTGCTGGAGTCACAGCTCCTACGTACTCCTGCCTACACATAAGCAGGACATGATGTCCACATAGGGGAGAGATCACTACTGTCAGGAGGGAAACGTGGTGCTCCTGCGGCAAAACAGCTGCTCATCTAAAGGTTCAATTCAGTTTTCAGCTAAAGGGCAATGGACCCCCAGGGCCAGAAGTCCTTCAAAATATAATCTACCAAAATCAGAGTTGTTCTGATCAGGTCTGGTAGGCAAGTGGCAGCCCTCCTTCTTGCAAAGAGCACTGAGAGGACCCAAGGAAAAATCACACAGATTTGGGGTGAGTCAAGGTGGTTTCTTCTCACTTGGGGCAAGGGAAGATGAAGTATTGCCCTACAAGTGACCGCAGGTCCCTCGTGTAAAATCCCAGATGGCCCAGGGTGTAATAAGAGTGAGAAATATGCAGCTAGCCCACATCTAGCTCCATCAGCCCCATCCCGTGCCGATGTCTCTCTTGTGTGTGTTGTTTCCAAGCTTCCTGCTGTGTTTGATGCGTGGTCCTTTTTCCTTTTTGCAGAGCAATGAGCCCTTAGTTAGACCCTCAGCCTTTAAACCAGTAGTTCCTAAAAACTTCCATTCCATGCAGAACCTCTGCCCGCCACAGAGCAACGGGGTGACAGAGAACAGAAAGAGCTTGAACCATGCCAACAGCAATAGCCCATCCGCACCCAAAAGTGGACTCGACAAGAGCAGCCTTAACAGGACTACAAACCAAGTGGGGGGCCTTTCGGATTCAGGCCGTAATTCGTTGACAAGCTTGCCCACCTATGGGACAGGCTACAGCCAGCACGTTGGTCCAATGAGCGCTTCCACCAGCCACATCAACCGCATCGGTACAACCTACGTGGACAAGAACATCGTGGGATACAACGGGATATCTACCTCAGACAGCGGGCGGTCTTCGAGCAAGAGCACCTCTTCGTTCAACAGACTGAACCATCTCAATGAAACAATGCCTTTCCACTCGCCTTCAACGGACGATATCATCCAAGACCTGGAAGACCGGCTGTGGGAGAAGGAGCAGGAGGTCCTCCAGATGCGAAGGAACTTGGACAAAAGCGAGGCAGCCATCTTCCAAGTGTTCGAGGAGAAGCAGAAGATCTGGGAGAGGGAAATGGAGGACCTGAGGCAAAACTATGCCAACAAGTTGCAGCAGGTCTCCAAGAAGGCGCAGCGGGCTCAGCAAGCCTTGCAGCTCCAGATCTTCAAGCTCCAGCAGGAGAAAAAAAAACTCCAAGATGATATGGGACAACTCCTCCAGCAACGAGAGGAACTGGAGAAGAAATTCGTGGCTTTCAAGAAAGAGCAGGCTGAGTTTCTCCCAAAGATTGAAGAGACCAAGTGGGAGGTAAGAGCCTTGTTGTAGCGGACCTTGAGTGAGGTTTTTGTTGAGTTGTAACTCAAGGTACATCCCAGTTGCCCTAAGTGGACCCCACAGAGAATGGGTATGGGTTGGTGGGCTCCGTGTAACAGATGACACTTCACACACCTCTTTAGATTGGATGTTAGGAAAAATTTCTTCCCAGAGAGAGTGATCAGGTATTGGAACAGATTTCCCAGAGAAGTGGTGGAATCAGTGTCCCTGGAAGTGTTCACAAACCATGTAGCTGAGTCCCTCAGTGCCACGGGTTAGTGGTGGCCTTGGCAGCGCTGGGGTAATGGTTGGACTTGATCTTAAAGGTCTTCTCCAATCTGGTCGATTCATGATTCTATGATTCTATGAACCCCAGGCCTGTAGTTTTCAATTAAACTAAAACGAGCACAACTTTTGGTGCGCACCTCCTGTGCTGGTTAATAATCTGGCTTCACACTCTGGTCACTCCAACTTCTGGTACTTGAACCCAGTTTCAATGAACACAGGTATTTGTGCTACCAAAAATGGGTTTAAGTCTGTTTTAATTAAATTCTTCTAACAGCTGCATTGGGGCAAACCTTGAAACTGCTTTGCAAGTATTTGATCCTTTTTCACTTAAGATATAAAGCAAGTGAGCCAAGAATGATGCCAATAACCACTTTGCCTCATGCTTTCCATTATAACACTCTGTTTTCACTTGTTAATGAGTTTATCTCTCTTAAAAGGCTGAAAGGTGAATTCCTCTTTCTAGTTCTCCTTTTGAGTGCTGCATGTTTTTCCTACTGTTTCTATTTTTAGAGCATTTTATGGAAGCCTGTTTGCAGAGCCAGTGCTAACACACTTCTTTTTTCAGCTTGATCATGTGAAGAATTTTAATCCTTCCATGGACTGGCTAGAAACTTCAGATTTATTAAGGGTGCAGAGGCAAAACGTAGCTCTAGAATCCAGAAGAGCCTATTCTGCTAATCCTGATGGAAAGTCAATGAAGCTGGGATTAATGAGGCTCTGAAAGGTGCTATTTACAGATGTTCAGCAGAGCTTATTAGAGGCTTGCTGGAAAATCTCTGCGTGTTACATCCCAGAACAAGCAGGCTGCATTGTCCCACATGATGCCTCCTTTGGTCAGTTGCTCTGCACAGGTCTTTTGTGTGTTCCAGCAAGTTAGGTCTGGAATGTTCCCCGATTCACCAGTAAAACTATAGATGAGCTTTTGATTGTTTGTTTCACTGCTATAGTTCCATCTGGAACAGCTAACCCAGAGATACGGATATAAAAGATAGGGATCCAGCTTGTGGATCAAGACACCTAAAGTCTGTAGACACCTACACTTGTTGACTCACTGACTTGCTCTCCAGGCTCCATGGACTGTATTGCCTAGATCTCCACAGCACTCAGGAAGAGGCCTGAATTTAAGTGTTTTAATCTGTAAGCTGGTTCCTATCCAAGCTGTTCTTCATCACGTATTTCTCTGCCTTTTGGGAAGAGTCAGCCCACGGAGAGCACTTTCAGTAAATTGTGCACATTTCAGCTAAACAGTAACTACACCATTCTAACTACAGTTAAACCAGCATGATATGGTTCTGCTGCTGCTGCTGCAGACAAGTACTGGTGTGGATGGAGGTACTCACAGAGTTAGGTCATCATGGGGAACCACCACGACTGTCATCTCCAGGGAAAGGTGCGACCAGTAGGTAGGTGTAGGAGACTGTGCGTATGTCTGAGCTCTTTAGCAACCTGTAGGAAGCACTAGACTGTCCTGATAGCTGAACATCAAGGTCTTGCTCAACATTACACACCAGGCAAGTCCTCTATAGCAGAGAAAGATGGAGGTTGCAATGGAAGCAATAAGGAGAGGAGAGTTTGTCTAAGGAGCATTGACCCAATTGGACTGGAGAAGCAACCAGCCTCGAAGGCACTGCAGAAGGGAGGAAAGGCCAAGCAATTTCATGTGTGACAAGAGACAGGGGCTTTGGGAGGGGACACCCTGGTCTGGAGGTGGCTGCCAAGTTTCTTTTTAATTAGGCCTATCCCCCCTGATCACTGACGGTTCCTTGGTGCTGCTCCCCAGCCCAGGCTCCTGCCAGGACTCCCGTAGGGACTGTTTGTCTCTGCAATGATCCACAGCAAACAGGTCAGATCTGCCAATGTAGAACCCTGAAACAATGGAGTTCATGCGAAAATGGGGGTTTGGTCATTTTTTGTGGTTCACTTCCAGCACCTACAACTATTCATTTAACTGTCACCTTTGATGGGCTCTGCAGGAGCAGAGGAGTGTCACATTGAATGGTGACACCTATGTAATGCAAATACACACTGCAGGAAGGGTATTCCCACTGGGTTTGTGTACTTTACCACATGGGTGAGTGGTAGGAGGTTCAGACTTGAATCTGTACCTCCAGCACCCAAGGACAGTGCATGGTAGTCCCATTTCAGCAAGGGTGGGTTGCAGCTCTCTCCTTGATCTTTGGCAGAGAAGCTGATGCTCTTCATGCCCTGCCCCAAAAGAATTAAATAGCTAAAAGTCCCTGGACTGTCCCCAGTGAAGTGAACCCTGATATTCAGTCAACTGGGTTCTTTAGGAGCCTTTGGGAAGGAAAGCATCATAGGAAAAGTAAGTAGCATCTGCTGTCTCTGAATCCTGTCCTACACTCCAGTGCTTGGGGAGAGCCCGGGTGGTCTCTGGATCTGGGATTTTTCTGTTTCAAGCTTGCTCAATGTCCAGATCCCACTGAGGTCAGTGGGAAAACTGCTGCTGAGAGCAGAGGGTTTGGGGTCAAGCACCACAGGCCTGTGGTTAGGTGAGTAAGATGAATACAGGGAGGGAAGCATCAGTGTCTACTCACCACTGGTGAGGACCATAGCACTTAGTTCAGCTGTTTGGTCAACTCCAGCTGGGAACAGATTCAGGTCCCTGAGAAACAGGAAGAAATCTCCCCCACAGATGTGGGGATAAGTTCTAGGTCTTTGGCATGGTCTGGGTCCTGGTGAAGGCTGGAACTCAGTCCTGCAGCAGCATCACTGGCTGTCCACTTCATCAACTGAGCCTCCTGCCATCGCGAGGTGACAGAGATGTTCTATGGGCAGTGCAGGGGACAAGCAGTGGTGGTGACTCCTCTCTGCCTTTCTCCTGCCTCACGGATGCTCTCCCCATAGGTGTGCCAGAAGGCAGGTGAGATCTCCTTGCTCAAGCAGCAGCTGAAGGACTCCCAAGCGGATGTGTCCCAGAAACTGAACGAGATCGTGGGACTGCGGACGCAGCTCAAGGAAGGTAAGAACTTCCTACGGGAGAAGGAGGAGCAGATCCTCACCCTGAAGGACTCCTACAGCTCCAAGAGCGTCAACCTGGAGATCTGCGAGAGCGAGCTGCAGCGCAAGATGAGCGAGGTCCAAGTGCTGAGGGAAAAACTGAACCACTGTGAGCTGGAGGTCTCCAGCCTGAAGCGGACACTTGCCAGTGTGGGACCTCCGGGACCTTTTGGTGGGGACGCTGGGGAGAAGCTGCGGGACCCACTGGGCTGTGAGAGCGATGAAGCCAAGATGCAGCGGCAGAGCGAGGACAGCGTCAACACGCTGCGGAAGGAGGTGGAGCGGCTCCAGACGGAGCTGAAGCTGGAGCGGCAGCAGCGGGAGCAGCAAGTGATGGACTTTGAGGAGGAGCGGCGCACGTGGCAGGAGGAGAAGGAGAAAGTCATCAAGTACCAGAAGCAGCTGCAACTGAACTACGTGGAGATGTACCAGAAGAACCAGCTCCTGGAGCACAAAGTGAATGAGATGAACACAAAGGCCACCAGCCCCCCGCACACCGAGGAGAAGAAACCATGGACTCCCTCCAGACTCGAGCGAATAGAGTCCACCGAGATCTGAGGTGGGACCAAGACAACACAACCTGATTTCTGTATTGCTGTGCATGTACTACCTACTCAAGCCAGTGATCTTCCGAAGGATAATACGCTACCATAAGAGCGGTGTGAGTCTGCTCATACCAAGCTCCACCACCCTTACTCTCTACTTCTGTGCTCTGTAGGTAAAATAACTGTGGATGTGCGTTGTTTTTCTATGGATAATGCTACATCTCCTTTGGGTTTCTTTCCTAGTACAGCTGGTGAGGGTCAGTTGGCTCTTTTGTAATCTGCCGTGACTGTTACTTCGCTAGAAGCTGCCATCCCCTCTCCTACAATTCACCCCTCTTCGGTTGGTTGTTTCGGAGGGTTGTAGTTGGTACCTTTGGTTTTTCCAAGCAGCAAAACAGTTCAAAGTGGCAGGTTTTAATCAGGGCATTTCTAGCCACATTGGCTAACAGAGCAAAGCTCTCGGGACCGTGAGCAAGCTCACTGGTCTGCATCAAGTATCCTGTCTAGACGGTGGTCTTAGTGAAGTCAGTGCGAGGTTGGCCACTGACTTCAGTGAAACCAGACATATCTCTACCAGATGACTCCCTCTTGCCAGCCCATGGCTGCCATGGTTGCAAGAGGTTAGGATATCCTTGAGGAGCAGGACGAGCCTGTCCTAGTAACATAAGCCAACAAGGAATGATCACCCAGCAGGAGCCTCTTTGGAGGCTCAGCAGAGCTGCGTTTTCATTTCATCGTGGTTTCCTTCTGCGGTTCCACTCCTCTTCTGGGTTGTGCTCAACTCTCAACCCTGGGAGAATAAACACCCTCTCACCTCTGCCTTGGTCCCCCTATTCCTATTACATACTCAAGCTGGCTACAGCAAGAAAGAAACTTGGAAATCCAAGCTAGTTTCCCCTCCCAAGAGCCCTTTTACTTCCCGAAGTCAGTGGAATCAAGGTTTGGAGAAGCCTTCAATCCTGTGGGATGTTTATGCAAACTGAAGCTTTAGCAATTTGCCCCAACAGTGGGCAGTTGTGCTGCCCCGTTCCCAAATGAGTGACGCTTTGATGCACTCTCTTGGTCCAGGTTGTCCTTCAAAACTGCATCAAGCCTCACTCAGGAGTTGCAGTGAGCAACATCAGCATCACTGCTAGATCACAATGGTGTGAGCCTTAGCCTTCAGTATGGCCATTTCAAACAGCATGCCATAGCGATCCCACATGGCATCACACATTCCAGGGGCAGGGATAACACAGGCCTAGCTTAAGGAAATATTCAGCTACTAACTCTGAGCATGAAAGCAGTAATGAGAAGGCAAAATGCTTAAGATCACTCAAGTGCTTATGCCCTGGCAGAATAATAACCAAATCCTGTATGCACGGTCACTGGGAATGGTGCAGGCATCCAAAACCAGCATTCAGCTTGAGAAGGTGGGCAAAGTGGGCCTGGTTCTCCCTTTCGTGGACACTTTTTTACTGTGATTCACAGTGAAGAGTTAAAACTCGTTGCACAGTGGAATTTGCACTGACTGGTCAGTGGCCAAAGGATCAACACAAGTGGGAATTGCAGCTCTTTGTCCTTGGGAGCAGCTAGAAGAACAAAGGTAGAATTATCACTGGGACACCTTGGAATGTCTGTGAGGGGACTCCAGGGAGAGTTTGGCCAGACCACATGCCATGTGCATACCAAGGAAGTACTTCAGGGCATTGAGGAGCTTCCAAACAAAAGCCCTGAAGCTACACATTTTCCATGTTCCCTTCCCCAGTAGCTCCCCATCTCCATCACCAGGTCTGAGCTTCCAGCTGGGGAAAAACACGGTTGTGGTGAGGTCCAGACTGAGCAAAGAGGCTGACCAGGAGAGAGAAGGCTTCAATTAGTCCCATTAACCACGAGCCAAGGCCAACAGTATTGCTGGACAGGAGCTGTTAGTGGCTGGCAGCCATCCCTGGAGCTATAGAAAATGGAGATGTATGACGAGACCAGGGCAGTTCAAGATCCCAGTTGATGGTACCTTTCTTTTCCCACTGCTTCTGCCTTCGGAGCTGGCCCATCAGCCTGGGAAACACCAGGGCAGCTCAGGCTAAGCCCCTCTTCCAGGATCAGTCTCCAGGACTAGGTCAGGTCAGACCCCTGAAGGGTGTTAAGAATTCCCACTATGAACCCTGCAGATGCTCCAGTGCTCTTGGACATCATCTGCACACCCTAATGAGGAAGGAGTGCACCTGACCACCCAGCAGCAGATTTGGCCATGCCAAAGGAGACACCCACATGTGCTGCACAAACTTATACACTTGGCCAGGCAAATCCTAGAGCTTCCCCCATTTCATACACAGGCCTTCCAGATGGAACCAAACATCCCACAATATCAGGGTTGGAAATGTGCTGTCGTGTGTCATCTTGGCTTTCTGTGCTTCTCTTCCCACATCAGATAAAGGCACGTTGTCTTCCTTCACAAAGCAGTTGTGAGGCATCTGTGCTTGTGAAGGGTTTTGCAGCCCTTGAGCTAAAGGTCAAAGCACGGAGAAACAGCAAGAGGCTTAGACTCTGATGTTCATAAGGTGCTTTTGAGGCCATCACACGAAAAGCAAACCCAACAGCAAGTGCCATCAGCAAACGATGGGTCCAACAACCTGGTGGGTCATTTCCACCTTTGCTCCTCCTGGCTCCACTGATGTTAAGGTTCATTTCCCTATAACAATCACAGAAACCAGTGTCTCGGTGGTTCAGGAAGACCCAAAGTGATTGAGTTTGAAGGATCTGCTGTTGAGGAGGTACATCACAATTCCCTGCTGTGTTAACACTCCAGAAATGGGCACTAGCATCACCCTGTGGGGTACCTTCTCAACAGAGCTCCTTCTCTCACAATCAGGACAAGCAGGGGCTTGTCTGGCCTCCTCCTACCCCTGGATGCAGTCAGAGGCGAGGCAGCCAGCCAAGCCCTCCAGCCTGCCAGGTTTGCTCCACCACCTTTTTCTTGCAGGAATGAGTGTGTCTTGATGGACCAGAGAAACCAGGAGGCAAATGGGTTTGTGTGACTGCTGGAGGGTGCTGGGCTGCCCAGGGACTCAATGGCCTCACAGTGCATCCATCAGGGACTGCCGAGCTCCTTGGGATGGAGCAGGAGTGGCAGGGAGACATTTTTCACCCTGGAGGAGGAAACGTACCCTCCCTTCACCTTCTTCTTCACTACATTAGTAACAATCTAGTATTCTGATCCAGACCTGAGCAACCTCAATTGCAGCCATTCCCTGGATGACACAGAGCTTTGTAGACACCCGTTAAGATGTTGTGCTGCTGATGGTGGTTTTCCCTCTTTTGGGTACTAGCCCAACATACCCCAATATCTGCCCTATAGCAAACACCTTCCTATGCTACAGTGACATAAAATACCGATGGTTTTGGCAAGTGCCGCAGCCAAACTGCCATGAAGGATTCCACAGGAACCCTTCCCACAACTGGATGCACTTCTCCCCATCACATCTCCTCCCCTGTATTAGCACTGTGCCACCACATGGTGATAACCAGTCTCTCTTGGAGACGACTGCCCTTTGCTCAGCAAAGATGGAGCAAAATGATGGAGGGACATCTGGGTTCCTGTTCTTTGGTCCAGACGGGAGCTCGCCTGGCCCTTTCCAGGTCTTAACACTTTTACCCACCAACTGGATGAAGTCTCCCATCACAAGCTAGGCCTGTGTTAAGTCCCTGGGGTCTTAGCCTTGAAAGATAGCCAAGGGGTGCCAGGCTGGTGTTTTGGTGCCATACCATGCGAATGGCCAAGGAGGCTGGTATCTTGTCTCTTGGAGGCTCAGGCAGGGCTGATAAAATGTTTGTCTCATGAAACTCAACACAGAGGTTGGGTTGGCCATCACCCAGCTGTCTCCTGCACCTTTGCTCAGCCAGCTCTGGAGCTGATGGGATTCAGTGTGACATAGTGGTTCATGTGTAATTCTGCCCTCAAAATCTTGCACGTGGTTACCATCCCACCTGAAACAACCAGTCATCTCTAACTTGCCAGCAAAAGCTGTGGTCACAATGATCTCAGGTCAGTTGCTCACACATGGGGTCCAGAGACATTAGAGATTCTCTGAGATACCCAATACGTGGAGCTGCCCCATATGATCCAAGATCTATGGGAGAGCCAGGCCAGTGGTGGGAAGACCTGGAGCACCTCTTGTGGCACATCACCCACTGCGGGCAACTGACTCGTGCTCCAGGCATGAGCAAATAGAGGACATTCATCAGCTCCAGCTCTTTCCATCCATGAGGATTTGGGCTAAGCAGGTCATCCTGGTGCCAGGGAAGGTCTAAGCAGCCCCTCTTCCCCCCTTGCTTTGCTCCACCACCATGCCGAGGTGGGTTGCTGCTGCTCTCAGATGCCAAGCCAGCACTCCTGCCTCACCCTGAGGGTGAACGCCGCCACCATCGCACGTTGTTGTGCTTCACACAGTCCCACTTAGCTTCTGCCACTGTCTCGTGGCAGCACCACTCC